TAAAGAAGCCAATCTGAAAAGACTATATGACATTCTGGAAAAGACAAAACTATATATGGAGGCCGTAAAAAAAAATCAGTGGTTGTCAGGTACTGGGGAAAGGGAGGGACGAATGGGTGGAGCACAGAGGCTTTGTAGAGCCGTAAAACTTCTGTACTTGTCATTGTACATTTGTCCAAACTCATGGAAAGTACAACACCAAGAGTGAACTCTGTACACTACGGGCTTTGAGTGATAATGATGTGTCAATATTGGTTCATTAATTGTAACATATATTTGGGTGAGATGTTGCTAGTGGAGAAGAATGTGTGTGTGTAGGGGTGGGAGCTATATAGGAACTCTACTTTCCACTCAGTTTTGGTGTGCATCCAAAATTGCTCTAAAAAATACCATCTATTTAGAAGCCAACACATTTAATAGACATTTTACTAAACTAGGTTCACATGGATCTTCCTGGTTATGGCCTTAATCTCTATTTAAAGAATATTGACCAACATTGCACATTATGAGGCTATTAACTTACAGATAATTCTGATATAAAATAATATAACCCAAATGAATGGGAGAGCATTCTTTTTTACAAAAGACTTTGTTACAGGAACCCAGTGTCATTAAGTAAACCTTCCTACTTGGTATTGTTATGTGTTGTCATATCTACATGTTAGGTAGAAAGAAAAAAAAAACACCCACACACAGCTAAACCAGAACTGAGCGGTTCTGTTTAACTGTAAGCTACTTTGCATATTATTACTCAATGATCACCTATAAATCAGGTTAAATCTGACCGAATCCAAAATACAGCACGGTGGTGACAATACTCAGGTAAGAGACTCTTCCCCAGAGTGGCCCATGGGGGCGAATAAGAATATGATTTATCGGAAAATCCCTAGGTGCGGTTGGTAAATGATGAACTTAGTCAGCTACCTGGTTATTCCATTATCTTAAACTATCAGTTCTGCCCATATGTTAAAAGATTCAGATTTTGCAGGTGAATAATTCATCTGAAGTAGTGGAGAGGGTTTTGGTTTGGAAGTCAAGAGACCTAGGTTCTGACCCCTGCTCTGCAACTAGCTCTGCAACCTTAGCCAAGTTACATCCCACGAGGGGTTGTGTAAGAGGATTTCTAAGGTTCCTTCATCCCTGACTTTCCATAACTCAGTTATAGGTGTAGTTGTAGCTTTGTTTTTCACATGCTAGTTATTTTTTAATGTCTCTGCAAGTTGAAGCTTTTATGCTCAGCAGAGCATCCAAAATCTATTTAGAATGTTATCATTAAGACCTCATTCATTTCCCAGAAGAGCTCTAGAACAGAAACCTGAGACTTTTCCAGGAGAGGTGAGTTTGTTAACTGTGCATGAATCTGGAACTGCCAGACCCCAGCACTAATAGTCCGTGTTGCTTTCTTTTAAAAAACTGCTCAGTTTCTACAAACATGTCTAGTTTCCACTAGATTTCCTTGATCCTCTTCATTACTGCATTTTGCATTCTGTCACTCTGTTGTGTTGTTCTTTGAATAAAAGGTGACCAAATTTAAATGCTATGCTCAATAGAAAAGCTTTTCATGGGTGTGTCTCCAGACACAAGGCTCTATTTCCAAGGATAAAGCAAAGTCTTGTTTAAAGCCTAGACATTTTTTTAAAATATATTTTATTGATTTTTTACAGAGAGGAATAGAGAGGGATAGAGAGTTAGAAACATCGATGAGAGAGAATCATCAATCAGCTGTCTCCTGCACACCCCACACTGGGGATGTGCCCGCAACCAAGGTACATGCCCTTGACCGGAATCGAACCTGGGACCTTCCAGTCCGCAGGCCGATGCTGTATTCACTGAGCCAAACCGGTCTTGGCAGCCTAGATATTTTTAAATACCTGTGGCATATGCAGATTACTCAGATTTCATCTGAGTCAATGTTTACCATAGTATTAAATGATCTGTCAAAACCATTCTCGAAAAGTTTGTGTGTGTGTGATTAGCTTTGATGGCATCAGCCTTATGTTTGGTATCCTGTTGTGTCGCTTCTGGCTTGTCAGCCATAGGCAGGAACAAGGCTCTGCTGTCCTCAGAAATGTAGAAATATAGACTCCATCCTCACTGTGCCATCATTTTGTAGCTTCTGCCATACTTGTTCTTTACTCTCTATCTCTGGCTTGGGAATTTCCTGTTTTCTCTCAGCAACTTTTTCTTTTTGACACAATGTTGGCTAGTTTTTCATCTCCCAGAGATTTTTGTTTTATGTTATTTCAGGTCATTTGGTCAGTGATTAGGAATCTTTCATTTCCTGTTTCTCTGTTTTGATTTTTCATTGGACCTATCGCTCTTGCATCATTCCCCCTCGCCTACCCCCTATTAGGAATAGTTTTTCCTGGCATTTACCCCTTTTCCAGTCTGGGTCAACATGATTTAATATAATCCTCCTAAACCTCATCCCCCACCCCTGTTGCCCTTTCTGTTTCCATAGTCATTTGTCCTTCAGTAGCCATACTAGATAGGCTAGGCCAGTGGTCAGCAAACTCATTAGTCAACAGAGCCAAATATCAACAGTACAAGGATTGAAATTTCTTTTGAGAGCCAAAATTTTTAAACTTCTTCTAACACCACTTCTTTAAAATAGACTCGTGAGCCGCAATTTGCCAACCACAGGGCTAGGCTTTTTCACAGGAACTATAATACATTTTTTCACACTTGAATTCTGGTGCTTAGAGGCTGCTCCACTATTACATAGTGCAGCCTGCAGAGATTTTGCTCCCCTCGGGTAGGGCAATAAGTGACAATGTTATCTAATCCTGCCCATAAGCATTAGGACTGAGGATATGTTTTTATTGATTTGAAAGAGAGATGTGAGAGAGAAACATCGATTGGGGCTTTCCGTACTTGCCCCAATGAAGGATCAAACCCACAACCTAGGTATGTGCCCTGACACGGAATTAAACCTGAAACCTATTGGTGTACAGAACAATACTCCAACCAACTGAGCCACCTGGCCAGGGCATGACAGTGAATTTTTACGAGTAAATGATTCCTTTTTTTATTTTCAGATTTGCCTCTAGCACATCAGGTATTAAATTATAAAGGCTATGCTGTGAGGTGGCATGATCATTAACTAGTTTGTAATTTCTCCAACATGTATTTTAAATATTGTGGTATTTCAGTGTTTCCCAAACGCCAGTTATTTGCATACACCTTCACAAGTCTTCATTATCTGTGTCCCACCTGTATGGGTATTTACTATTTTTCTTCAAACCAATTCACATTTTCTTTACTCAAGTAGATTTTATTTTTAAAATTTGTATCATACTATCAATGTGAAATCAGCATGACTCACAATAAATAACATGAAGAGTTAAATATTATTAGAGTCTAGCTAGAACAGCTTGTTGAAGGCTTCCATCTGAGGAGGATCAGAAAGCCTTCTGGGACTAACACTCCCATCTATGTAATCACTGGAACTGGAAGAGAATTGAAAGGCCATAATTTTCTCACCAGGTGAATCAGTATTGTTTCATGCTATTTCTGTGCAGCATCAAAAATCCTCCCTCTTGCTCTAGCTGGTTTGTCTTGGTGGATAGAGCATCGGCCTGTGGACTGAAGGATCCCGGGTTCAATTCCAGTCAGGGGCTCAATCCCCAATGTGGAGCATGCAGCCATTCAATGTTTCTCTCTCATCATTGATGTTTCTAACTCTCCCTTTCTAAAATCAATATATATGTATATTTAAAAATCTTCCTTCTTACTACCACAGAATATTGTAACCCCATCTAGTTTTCAGAATGAGCTCAAAAACTATACTAGTACATCAAAGCAAAAGCAAAGTGAAACATTGATCTCTGAGGAAATTGATGATATTTTCTCTTCTTGGATTTCCCCAAATTTATAAACTTGGTTATGTTTCCAGGTTAACAAAGAAATGATGGACAATAGAAGCTATTCTAATCTGCCAGAAAAAGTGCCTGTCCTCTCTGATTCTGCCCACCTGCCGCTGAGCAGGTCCTTCTATCTGGACCCCATGGTCACTCTCCACTTGTACCCCGAGGCCCCGGTGCCATCTCCTTACTTTGAAGACTTGCCATTGCTGCCCTTTTCCAGTGATTCACTGGTCCTGGAAAATTACAGCGAGCCCTGCCCCTTCTCCTTCCCAGTGCCCTATCCAAATTACAGGAGGTGTGACTACTCCTATGGGCCCTCCTTTATCCGGAAACGGAATGAACGGGAAAGGCAGCGTGTGAAGTGTGTCAACGAAGGCTATGCCCAGCTCCGACACCACCTGCCGGAGGAGTACCTGGAGAAGCGACTCAGCAAAGTGGAAACCCTCCGAGCTGCGATCAAGTACATTCATTACCTGCAGTCTCTCCTGCGCCCGGATCAGGCTGAGGCCGAGGAGAGCCCTGGGAAAGGTTCCGCCGTCATAGCCACCGCCAGCCGCCACACGGACCCCATTTTTAGAATCATTTGACTCAGTGGTTCTAAATAGAAACAAATAACATCACAAAATGGGGTTTCATAGCATCATGCAGTAATAGTTTTCCCTAAATGTAATTTCTGGGTGGGCAGGTAATAGCTCGGATTAACCTGTGCTGGATATTTCTTACCTGGGTTTCCCGTGTACTAAACATCATCTGTAGATTGAGAAGATGCTTCGTAAGCACTTTGGGGAGCAGGAGTCCCAGGATTCTCTCTCCCCCTCACCTTGCCCTTCTCACACCCTTCGCCGGAGTCTCAGCCATGAGAAACTCTTAAAAGCGTTGCGTGAGGAACGGTTCCTGAATACTAGTAGTGCATGCTAAGCAAACACAACGAACTCCCTTGATTTGTCACAGTTTGTTGTTTTTTTATGATTTGAGATTGATAATAAATCTATGCCTTACCCACGTCATGATAAAAAAGTGTCTCAGATCTGTGGCAAAACCTTGTTGTCATTTGAAGTATTTCAGTCACCTTTTTCCTGATTAGAGAAGACTTCCTTAGGCAGCTTAGTGTAGAGGGTTAGAGGTCACGCTCCGGAATCAAATTGCTTCCATTTAAACTGACTGTGCTACTTGCTCTCCGTGTCACAGGATGAGAATTTAAAAAATAAAAACAAAAAATAGCAACTACCCAATATGTTTACTGTGAGGATTAACAGGTTAGCAGGGCCTGGCACGTAGTAAGTATTTATAACCTTTATTATTGGTGTCATTATTACTAATCCTCCTCTTGTTTTGTCCATAGCATCTCCATTCTCCAGGTTCTTTAAGCCAAAAAGCCTGCAGCGGCCTTCACCTCGGGGAAGGACAGTCGCTGCCCCATATCTTGGAGTTTGCCTTCAGAATATCTGTTCCTCTTACCATGACTGGGCTCAGGTCTTCCTGCTCCCAGTTCCCACCTGACACCAGGCTCAGTCAGAACTTCCAGTACACCGTCACTCTCCTCCACCGTGATTCTCTATGACGTCTTCCCACCCCAGCCACTACTTGCTGCTTTGTTTTGTATACACATTTCTGTGCAGTTTCTCTCCTGCTATCCTTACATGCCATTACACACCTCTTTTGTCTTCAGTGGACTGTAAGCTCCTTGAAGATGGAGACCAGTCTTACTCCTCCTGTACTCTTGGCACCCAGCGAAAAGCCTCAAGTCAGGCAGGTGTTGTCAGGAAATATTCGGTGTTACTATTTTCCTGTTCCTACCCTGTCACCTGTCGGGATAACTGCTAACAGTCTCCTCCCCCGGCCTCCCCCGCTCTATTCTCCACTGGCTCCATCCTCACTCGGTTGTTCTTCCTTAAAGCATTGCATTGCTCAAACCCCAGGACGACGGCCTGTTGACTACCACGCTTTCTGTTTTGTTTATGTTTATCTGCTTGGTTTTCAAGGCTCCCACCAATATGGCCCCTTCCCAAATATCCACACACACCCTGATTTTCCCCATGAAACCCATTCCCACCCCAAAAAGAGAGAGTCTTGCAAACGCATCCTTTTCTGTTAGCTCTTGCTTCCTACCTAAGTTGGAACAGTCCCCTGTGGAAATCCTACCTGTCTTATTTAGGAATCCTCCTCTCACCGCCAGAGACTTCCATGGCTTTTCTTGGATTTTTAACTTTGTGAGCAAAGACCTCAGCCTTTAGGTATGTAGTCCTAGGTTACAGTCATTCCGACTATTACGTTACGCTCTGTGAGAGCCGTCATCGGGTAAGATGCTTTTGGCGGTAAGGAAGGAAAAAGGTCCAATCCAGATGGGTACCCTCAGTAAAAGCTCACGTAACTGAAGCTTCTCCTAAGGCTGCCCTAAGGCCTGGCTCGGCAGTCACCAGCCACCTGTGTACTTTAGGTCTCTCCCTTGTCTTCCTCTGGGAAGTTTCGGTGCCCCAGAACCACACACTTCCTTATTACTTCTAGCAGGAAAAAGGGTCTAGAACCCACGGTGTCCCCAGCAAAAGTCTGGAGCGCCCCGGAAACTGCGCCTCGCCAGTCCCTGCAGCCTGGAGGTCGGGATGTGCTGATGGACACGTTCCACCTGTGGAACTGCAGTACGTTCAGCCTCTCATAGCCACACGGACCCTCTAACAGAGACAGGAACTGGTGGTACAGGGGAATAGTAACGTGGGAGAGACACCCACGAATGTCCCTAGATGCTGTTTTGGTGTTTTCCACTTAACACTGCCGGGCACACAACCGGGTGCCCAAGGACTGACTGTCGGGTATCTCAAAATACCAGCCTCTCCTGTGGGTGTTCCTGAGAGCGGAAGCTAGAATTCTGTTCCCCTGGTCCCCGCTGTCCTCTCCCACCACCCCGAGTGGTCACCTCGCCTCTGCTTCTCACAGAGTCCTGTCTGCTACAGACAGACGTGCCCACACCTTCGTTACGTTGTTTTAAACTGCGAACAAGTTCTATGTGAGAGTTCCTAGTCCAGCCAGTGGCTCCCCTACCCAGCCTCCTGCTGTCTCAGGGTGGAGCCAGATCAAGAGTCCTGAGTCTGAGAGTCAGCCCCCACCCTCACAAGGTCCCCTGGGGCCCTTGAGGGCTTCCCACTATGGCTGGCTCTTCTGGGCACTGGGCAAGTCTCAGCTTTTGTGAACTGAAGCTACAATATCCTCCTCACCCCCTCTTCAAAGAGAAATATGGAGCGTAACACCCCCGCCCCTTCTCCCCCCACCTGCCTTCCCAGGCCCTCGGTCACCCCTCTGCACATGCCCAGTACACTCAGCCCACAGTGTTCCCCTGGCTCACACCCATGGCAACCTGCTTGGCAACCCGGAGTCAGTTGGGCTGAGGCCCGAGTCCAACTGTCAAAAGGGGCCAAGGCTGAGGTGGAGGAGGCCGGGCTGTGGGTAAGGCTTCCTGTGGGTTCAGGCCTGCGGGCCGGAGCAGGGCAGACCCTCACGGGCTCCGCTGGGCAGGGGCAGCGCGCTCACGGGCCCGAGTCACAGCTGCTGCCGCTGAGCAGGCAGGGCGGCCACAGCCTGGGATCTCAGCGGGCCTGGGGCTGAGCTGGTCCTCCAGGTGACCGGGTCGGGAGGGGAGGCTGGCTTGCGCCGGGGGTCCGTTTGTCATCGGGGTTAGGATTTGTGAAGCGAAGTATGGCCTTCCCCTCAGAGGTCCCTACACTTTGGGAGGAGGGGAGGAAAACGAACATAGGCATTGAGCTAGGTATATGCCAGGTGCTTTCCATGTACCATCCCCTGAGCGGTAACAGGCGCACAGCTGAGGCGATCACACAGGCTGAGAAGGGTTTAAAGCTGTCTTCTCCACAATCCCAGCTCTCGCTCTCTCCTGAACTGAGGTTCCCAGGACACCCTGCGCGTCTGTGGGAGCGAGTGGGTCCGCAGAGCGGCTGCTGGCCCCTGGCCACTCACCGTGTCCTCTGCTGGGCTGTGGGCTGCGACTCGGACAACGAAGTGCTCGTTCCAGGTGGTGCCTCCGAAGAGAAGGCCATGGAACCCTCCGGAGCGCCTGGGGGGCCTCTGCCCAAGTACTGCAGCGTGGCCACCGCCCTGGAGGCCCCCGCCTGGGCCGGCGCTGCTCCTTCCTGGAACCTGGCCTTCAGCTGCCCCTTGGCCCTCCAAGCTCCCTGGCTCGCCTGGCACAGCCCTCTCACCAGGTACCGCTCTCTGCCCCTCTCGGGGAAGTGGTGTGCGCCTTCCTTTTTCCTCTCTGTCCTGTGGCTCTAGATTAGGGGTGTCGAACTCAATCAGAGAAGGGGCCAAAATCTAAAATCCAGCCTAAATCGCGGGCCGAATGGTTTACTGAACAGTCATAAACTGTCATTGTGATGGAAACGCAGCGGAGTGCAGTGATGACAGCGCCGTGCGGGCCACATTGCAAGGCCTGGCGGGACGGATTTGGCCCGCGGGCCTTGTGTTTGACACATGTGCTCTAGATAGTGCACCGTGAGGGAGAGACCTCGCTTCCTGGGAAGGCCAAGGGGCTCTTCACTGTGTGGGCTATGATTTGCTGAAGGTATTCCGTGACCCCAGTCTAAACAGTGCTCCCGGCGACCGCAAGGGCTGGCCTGGCTTTGGTCCCGCCTTGTGGCCGAGTGGCAGGCATCAGAGCTGGCACATGGGAGAGAAAGCTGTCGGGCATCTCCAGTTACAAAGTTTCTAGACCATTTTTTTAAAGTATTTTTTAAATATGTAATTGTTTCTAAATATATTTTATTGATTTTTTACAGAGAGGAAGGGAGAGGGATAGAGAGCTAGAAACATCGATGAGACAGAAACATCGATCAGCTGCCTCTTGCACCCCCCCTCCCCCCCACTGGGGATGTGCCCGCAACCCAGGTACATGCCCTTGACCGGAATTAAACCTGGGACCCTTCAGCCGGCAAGCCGACGCTCTATCCACTGAGCCAAACCGGTGTTGGCTAAATATGTAATTTTTAAATTGATTTCAGAAAGGAAGGGATGAGAGAGAGAGAGAGAGAGAGAGAGAGAGAGAGAGAGAGAGAGAGAGAGAGAGAGAGAGAAACATTGATGGGCTGTTTTCTGCACACCCCACACTGGGGATCAAGCCCAGGCATGTGCCCTCACCAGGAATCACCACGTCCTCCTCATTCCTAGGTCGGCACTCAACCGCTGAGCCAGGCCAGCTGGGCTCTAGACTGTTTTATCACCCACCGTGCACTTGCTCTGGCACCACGTGAGAAACTAGAGTTTCTTCTGCCACCACGAGCTAAGCTGAGGTCTCCAGGCCCCTCCCCAGGTTCGCTCCGTTATCCTGGCTTTTCCTGAATAGTGTCCTCAGTCAGGTGCCTAAGAAGGGGGAAGGCACCTACCAGCCCCTTCCAGCTGTGTAAGTCCCGGGGCTCATGCCCATGCTACTCAATCCAGTCTGCCCAGGTTCCGGACATGCCAGCTTGCACTCTTAATAGTGCCTTTCTTGCTCCTCCTATGTGGGCCATCTCACGCAAAGCCAGCAGTAAGCATCCCTGCATCCATGCTCACCCACAAAAGTAAACAGCTCCTTCAGAAACCCAAACCCTGACTCAGCCATCATCTCCTCAGCCCTCCCCCACCTCCGCTGTGACCACAACATTCCCAGAACTAGCTTCTCCTTTTCTTCCGTCCCCACAGCCCCTTCTTCGGCTCCTCTGTGCTTCCCCTGCCCAGTCGCCCCTTCCTCCCTCTGACCCACTGCGCCAAGCCATCTTACACATTTCCCTTCTTTGTCATTTCCGCCCAAGCCTCCCCACCTCACCCTGGAATCCCACACACCCACTTGGTACCTACCTTCGCCGTGGTACCCTTTTCCAGGTGCGCAACCTAATCTCAGAACCAGCATTCACTGAGCACACCGAGGCTAAGGATCTTTGGATTACCCTGAAGCAATTCCCAGTCCTCAAACAATAGTTCCCTTCCCTGTCTTCTCCTCCTGCCCAGGCTCACAGTTTATCTCCCTGAAAGTCACTTTTTGTGTGAGGTCCCTACACTTTGGGAGGAGGGGAGGAAAAAGAACACACGCATTGAGCGAGGTATATGCCAGGTGCTTTCCATGTAGCTTTGTGTGTCACACACACGCCACGGTGCTGTGCAGACCTGCCTGTGGCGCGTGTTTCCTGATGTTTTTTAGGGATTGGCCTTCTCTACTCCCTAATTCCACTTGCTTTTTCCCAGATGTGCATCCTATCAACCACGTCTCCCCATGGCTGACCCAGCCCTGCAGGGGCCCGGCAGGCTGGGGAGAGTTGGAGACGCTGCTGGCACGTGGGTGCTGGCAAGACGGGGACCCGATGGCCTTTATCACCGGGCTCAGATAAAGCCTGCTCCGGAGGCAAGTGGTCTCCACCAGCGGGCGCACCTGCCCCTGCCCCTTCTCTGACGGCCCCCGTGGCTGAGGAACCCCTGGGTCCCGTCTCAGCCGTGGTTGTGGGGGACCGTGTGCTCCCGGTGGTACCCCCTCACGCCAGGTCGTCCTCTGAGCGCTTTCTTGCCCACAGCTGGAGAGGCAGGGCGCTCTGCTTGTGGAATTCGAGGCTCCCCTGGTCACAGGCCCACAGCTGCCAGCCCCGCGGCAGAGCGTGGTCTTAGGAGAGGATGTCGTCCGGTTCTCGCCGCCCGAGGGATCCTCCCTGCAGCCCGGGGACACGGTGCTGGCGCCCTGGGAGCCGGACGGACAGTGGTATGGCCCTGCCACTGTTTCGGGCTTGGAGGCGAGAGGCCCCCAGAGAGGTAAGGGAAGCTGCTCTGACCTACCAGCCCCGGAAGGAGCCAGCCTGGTGATCAGGCAGGAGGAGAGAGCAAAGGGTGTCTCTGTAGCTCAAGGGTCTTAGAGGCATTAAAAACAAAAAACAAAAACACCCCAAATCCTTGCCCTGGCCAGGCTGTTCAATGGTTAGAGCCACAGACTAAAGGGTCTCAGGTTCGATTCCAGTCAAGGGCACTTATGTCAGTTGCAGGCTCCATCCCCAGCCCTGGCTAGGGTGCATGTGGGAGGCAACCATCCATGTGTCTCCCTCTCTCAGATGTTTCTCTCTCTGTGTCCCCCTCCCACCCTTCCACTCTCTCTTTAAACATTAAAAAAAAAATCTTCGGGTGAGGATTAACAAAACACACACACACACACACACACACACACACACGCACACTCAAAACCCTTACCTCCTCACTTGCCGTTTAATCCTGGGGATGGTAACAGATATATAAATCATACCTTTCAGGTTAAAAGCTATTTTTCATCAGGGTACAAGCGCCTAAAGCTCTGTCTGTGTCGGTTAGCTAACCTAGGGCGGGAGCGGCGGGGTCAGCCTGGGTCACACCAGCACTCCTGGCCTGTCCCCACCACCCTGTCCAGAGACAGGGACAGGGACAGTTCCCTTCTGCAGGGCTGAATTCAGCATCACCGTAATTCAGAGAATGAGGGGAGGAGGTTCCCCCGGGAGAAGTGTGCATGAGAAGGCAGGTAGAACAGTGGAGTTTTGTCTTGTGGGGTAGGAGAACCCTTTTGCCACAATATGGAAGTGGTGGTTGTACTAAAATGTTGCCGTTTTCTATCATGCAGCATCTGAAGAAGAAATCACTGTCCACTTCTGGGATGGCAGGACCGCCACAGTGCCCCGGGGCGGGGTGTGGGGGGTGGCCCCTGCGGTCTGGAAGAAGGCCGTGGAGCGGCTGCATGGGCCTTTCACCAGCAGGCCCCCCGCCACCCTCCTCTGGGCCCCTTGCTGCTCTCTGCTGGGGCCGGGCGCTGGATATGTCACCCACGGGCTTCCCCTGGGCACCCCGTTCCTGTGCCCTCCCTGCCACCCCCGCGCCTGCTGCCAGCTGCTGTGCCAGGGCTGCCCCGGCTGCTGCTCTTTGGCTGGACCCACCTGGTGGCCTCTCAGCAGGACCTTGGGGGCCTCGGCCAGAGAACACCCAGAGGCGGAGCTAAAGCCTCTGCCCCTAGAGGCTCCCAAAAAGGAGAAAGTGGCTGTACTGGCTCCCATGGCTGTTTCTTCCTCCTCCTCCTCCTCCGCCTCCGCCGCCTCCTCCGCCTCCTCCTCCTCCGAAGGGGATTTAAAGAAAGATCTGGAGACAGGCCTCCCTCAGAGGCTGGTGGTGGACAGCACAGTCACCTCCGACCCCGTCCCTCCCGAGAAGACGCGGAGGAGGCAGGCGGGCCTGGGCCAGCCTGAGTGGCGGTACTGGAAGAGGAACGGGCCGGAGCCGCTTCCCGGGAAGCCAGGTACACCTCCTCCTGAGGCAGGGCCGCGGCCCTGGCTCCTTCCCTCCCGAGGGCCTGTCAGGAGTCTGAGCCATGTGACCACTAAGCTGGGGCTGGAAGTAAGACTTAGGAGTGTGGTCACGTTTGAAGGGGTGTCTGTGGTGAGAGCGAAAGGGTAGGTTTCCATTTAAGCAGTAAAGCTGGGCTGATTTTTATGCAAAGGTTTGCATCCCTATTGAACAACTGTCCTTAGTTCTTAGTCTCTCCAGACAGGGCACCGCCATTGTCTGTTAGTGCTGCCCCACTTCACACACACACACACACACACACACACACACACACCCGCACACCCGCCACTTTGTCCTTGGAGGCCTAGCTTTTTCTCCAGATGAATAATCAAAATGCCTGCAGGTGTTGATTAGTCTTCCACGCCTTGAAAAGCAGAGAAACAATATTTTAAACATTGGTCATCGGACCCTCCCCTCCAGAGGGCCCCTTCGGTACGTCAGAAGCAGGACGCTGCATCATGCTGCTGTTCTTTCCCGCTCAGAGGGAGGCGGTGTTCTTGCTGGCAGGCCGCAGCCACCTCCAGGGCTCTTCATCTCGAGCTAAGAGGGGGCTCTCCTTTAGGAACTGGGCCACTTGTTGCTCCCGGTAGAGGTGATTCTTGAAGCTGAACCATGAGAATCAGTGGACCTGTCTTCTGCCAGGACCCAATCCTGCACCCACAGCTGTGGATGCCTGAGATGGGGTGTGGAGAAAAAGGGGCCAGCCCCAGCCCCAGGCACAGACAGGGTACTACATACCACACTCAATGGTGTGTGCCCACCTCCAAACCTTGTATTCTTTAAAGGAAATGTGCAGTTTCGTCTCCTAACTGTGCCTGGCAGCCATCAGTACTGGTGCTGACAGTCAGTCTTGGGCTCCGCCTCAGGATCTGCCTCTTACCAATCCGCTCGTATGGGTCCCTCCGCCCTGCACACGTATCACTTTCAGCTATAGGCAGTGAGGTTCCTGTTCAGTCCTAACCTAGCGATCCTGGGAAAGCCAGACTGTTGGCTGCCGGCAGCTACATTGCTCTGCTCCCTTGCTTGTGGTTAACCAGGATTCAATCTGTAGTTTTAAAAGTCAGGAGGGGATGGATTTCCCTAACTTTTTAGATATTGCCCTACTCCTCAGGAAGTCGCAGGCCCTGCCCCACTCAACCTCTGAACTTTTCCCCATCAGCTTAGGATCTCCTCTTTCTGATCAATGTGACTGGTAAGCTCCTTCAGCTGGTGGTGATTGGTCACCTTTGCTTCCCCAACTGGCTGTTTTGAAAAATTGGTTTGATAGTCTACTCAATGCCAAACCTGGTGATCAGATACAACCTTCCTCAAAAACATAATAGCCAGGAATAATTAACAAAATCTATTTGTTCTTTAAACATAGAGAACAGTGCTAGGAGCTTAAGGGTAGTGAAGAGATTCTGTGGTCCTTGGTAGAGTTGTACTTAAGTCGTCCAGACTAATCCCACAGAACTGTGGCATCTTCGGCATCCCTCATTGAATTCTAGGTTTAGGCAAAAGATGCTGCAGCTTCCAGAAAGAAGAGAAGGGCCACAAGCAGCAGAGAGGACAAATGGCAGAAGGGGGACACACCAAGGAGCCGGTCCTGGAAGTAACCAACGCAAAGCCTCTACAGACCCTGCCAGACAAAGCGGAGCACGGGAAACTGAGTCAGGGGACCCCTGTGACACGTCAGAGACACCGGAATGCCTTAGACTAAACACCCTGAGGATCTAGGTAAAGCAACATGGCAGGGAAGCGGCTGCTTCCTTTCTTGTGTGTGGTGTTCCCCCCCCCCCCCCACCCCCCCAGTTTTAGCTGACTTTCAATATTATATTAGTTTCAGGTATACAGCAATTGGTTAGACAATTATATAATTTCTGAAGTGATACCCCAATACATCTAGTATTCACGGGCACCATACCAACAGTATTGTTGCACCTTTCAGTTTAGTTATTCATCTCGTTTTGAACATGTCTTTCCTCTGGAAAAAAAATGCCAGCATTTTATGTGATGAATTGAAATTCTAAGTTGAGCTATGTTAGCATTCCTAGTGAGAAACAGACTCCCATGGACATTTAAATGGAGATCCTTGCACCTCCCCAAGAAGTTATAACAATATTATTGACTATATTCCCTATGCTGTTCTTTATAGCCCCATGACTATTTTGTAACTATCTTGTTTGCACTTCTGAATTCTTGGGAAGGGGCTTCTTCTTCTTTCTTTTAAATATATATTATTGATTTTTTTTACAAAGAGGAAGGCAGAGGGATAGAAAGTTAGAAACATCGATCAGCTGCCTCCTGCACACCCACCACTGGGGACGTGCCCACAACCAAGGTGTTATGCCCTTGACCAGAACTGAACCTGGGACCTTTCAATCTTCAGGCCGACACTCTATCCACCGAGCCAAACCTCTTGTGGTGATATCCCCTTTGAAAATAAAGCCCATGGCTCCCCTTTCCAGAAAAATGCACATACCTATAATTATAAAAATGTTTTTTATTGAATTTAGTGAAAGGGAGATGGAGAAAGATAAACATTGATGTGTGAGAGAGAAATCAATTGGTTGCCTCCTGTATGCATCCCAACCAGGGACTGAACCTGCAATCTGGGTATGTGCCCTGACCAGGCTTTGAACCATTAACCTTCCAGTGCATGGGATGACACTCAACCAAACCACACTGGCCAGAGCACCCAGAATTTTGCATATAATTTCAAAAGGCTTACAGAACCTACAAAGGTCATTATAAACTTCTTGGGGAGGTGCAAGGATCTCCATTTAAATGTCCATGGGAGTCTGTTTCTCACTAGGAATGCTAACATAGCTCAACTTAAATAGAATTTCGATTCATCACATAAAATGCTGGCATTTTTTTCCAGAGGAAAGACATGTTCAAAACGAGATGAATAACTAAACTGAAAGGTGCAACAGTACTGTTGGTGTGGTAGCTTAAAAGTTAAGGACACATCTATGACTCTTTAAAATCAGTGACTTTTGATCCTTAAAATTACATCAGCATATGACCCTCAGGATTCTTTCTCTTATAGGAAGCAGAGTGAATACCTGAGGAAGAATTACAAAGTGGCTGGCAAAGCCTTCAGTGGTAGAGTCAGGACACAAATGACAGTCGCATAAGCAGCAGCATCTTCACCCCTTTTAAGACTTCCCTGCAGACGGGCGCAGGAAGGCACGGCCTGGCCAGGTCTCCCGCCTGGCGAGATGAGCGTGAGGATGCTGCTCCACAGAAGTCACAGGCCGTGGTCAGCCTGCTTTGGGCAGGTGTATCCACAGCCTCTCTGCCACCTTTTCTTATAAACCCACAATTGTACATGAATGACATTTTGTTGCTCTTAATATCAATAAAAAGGAATTCTCTTTATTTATAAATCTTTCCTTTTATTATCATAATTATCCTTTACTTGGAAAGCAAGCAGTAAAAACTATTCAGACAGCATCATTATTATTTTCAGGCAGAAGGTGAGAGGTTAAAAACTTTTGAGGTTAAAATAGGCACTGAAAGAGACAAGCTCCAGGTCTCAGGAAGGCTGACTTTAAGAGCAGGATTAATGTATGAATATTAACAGAATCATATGGTGGCTTTACTCTCCTTGGTACTTAAAAAAAAAGGCAATGTGATGGTCAACATCAGATGGGGAAAACCAAGTCCACACTCTGTCCTGAATCAACAGCCACCACTTGAGTCTTCTTGGTTAAGTCATTTGCACCCACAGTGACAGAATAGGTCCCTGGATACACTTCTATGTAGAGGTCCTTAGAGATGTTCTCAGCCTGGAAGGAAAGCGAATATTAGCGGTTTAGAAATTTTATATCCCAATGCCCAGGACACCTCCACCAGGCTTCCTTTGTGTCCAGAGGCCGGATGGAAGAAAGCATTCCTGTGGGAGATGGAGGTTCTGTTTTCAAGTCTCAGCCACACAATAGGACTATCCTTTAGGTAAGTCCCGGCGTCTCCTTCAGCTTGTTTCCTTATTCTAAGACTTCGGTAATACCTATCTCACATGTGAGAACACTCTGTAGATGCGCAAGTGTTATAGGAATATGAGTCATAAAAGGAACACTCTAGCTGGAGTAGAAAGATAAAAATTAGAAGAAAAGACTAAGGACATAGTTTTGGGGATCAGAAGCAGACACTTGTCGCACCAATGAGCAGTAATGGCACCTTGGAGTGACGAGAATCATTCTTTTTCACTGTGTTTTGCTAAATTCATTTTTAAGACAGTGAAACATGTCCTTTCTCCTAAGGCTGGGAATAGAACGAGTAGATTCCTTTCTGCATGCAGCAAGTCAGCTGTCTGGCAAAGCCCTCCCTGGGCAGACTTGTTCTCCTAATGGTGCAGGAACACTGGAGGCTGGAGTAGAGGGAAAGCTTTATGTTTGAGCTGAGCTGAGCTGAGCACAAACCTCCAATGACAGACTTCATGCAAGGCGGGGAAGTGGTCACGGCAGGTGTGCAGGCAGCGGGGTCGTAGCTCAGACAGAGCCGTCATTAAGAGCCCGGCTCATGCACGAGATGCCACTCATGCTTACTCAGTGCTCAGAGGAGCTGCAGGCAGAGCTGTCACTCTCACCACCACACTCAGTGGGGGAAACCAAGCCCTGGCCAGCAAATTCCACTAGGAGGATAAATGCTAATTTGTATACTTGCTCCCCCTCCACATGAAAGCTAGATTTGAAGCCAATTTTTCTCAAAGCTGCTTTATGTTATAGCCTTCATGTTTACCCGTTACTGCAAAATCAGGGGTCTAGTCTAGTATAATTTAACAGATGTGACTGTATGGGACAACACCACAACTATTTATTGGTTATCAACTATGTAAATAAAAGTAGGTTTCAGAAAATACAGCTGTATCAAAATTGCAGAAAGCCAAGGACACCTCATTTGTCCTGAAAAAAGAAAACCCGGGGAGTAAGATCAGTATCTGTGCTTCCCACACTGTGAACATCTGGAAGATAAGAATTACCAAAAGCCAGCAGGTTTCGGAGGCATCTAAGCCTAACTAAATTCTAGTGTATCCTGAATCCTGGCTAGCACACTGTAGACAAACAAAAACTAAATAAATGATTACAGCAAACTGCTGGAGTTCCTTCCCTCAGATTTCCAGCCCTGGCCAGATTTCCTGAATTTAGAAACTAATGATCACTTTATCCTAAAATGAGAAACCCGTCCCTATGTTTTTACAGAGAAACATTAGTGGAAAATAGGAACAAGTCCCCTCGAATGTTTTGGAACCTGATCTAACCAAGTGTATGTTTCAGAACTGTAGTGATGGTATTCACTTTGTAAGCAGAGGGGTCAGGCCGCTCCTGCTGCTCCAACAGATGGTGGAATTCCAGCAGGACCCACCAGCGCAGCTGAGCTGTAGGAACTGAGATGCGAATACTTCGCATTCTTTCCAACCCAACCATGAGCCCAGGCACAGAGCACCCCTGAAGCTTCCCGTGGGGGAAGGATACCAAGGAAACATTTTATACTGAACCACAATGTGTGCCCTTGCACAAGGATAAAAACATCCCAATGTGAAAATACTGCGGGCCCAGTGCAAAGAGCTCTAGAGTCACCAGGTCGATTGGTTCATGAAATGGCCGTGAGGGGAGGCCAGCGGGGACACCGGGAGCTCTGTACTCACAGGCTGGGCTGCCTCTGGCGTACACTTCGTGGCTGGACAGGGGCCTCCAAAACCAAGGGGCGTTTCTTGTCTCTGGAGAAACAAGCAGAAACATTAGAGCCCAGATTCTGACTTCTGGATAACAGAGAGACAGCTGCTTCTACTTTATGAGGAACTAACCATTGTTCCTTCCATTTTTCTAAGTTGTCACCTAAATTATTAAGGCTTTTAGTGAATCCCATGGGGCTTTTTTAGATGTTCACCATGATTATTTTTTATCCTCCTTGGGGTTTGGAGTCAGATAAACCCGAGTTTGAATCCTATGTCTGCTCTTCGCTGAGAAGCGCAGATTAATTTCAGCCTTGCTTTCCTCACTAATAACATGGGGGCACTAGATTTCAGGGAAGATTTAAAGTGTAGCAGTGCCTGACACTTAATAGGCTCTCAGAAAATAGATTATTTACTGTGCTTGTCTTGAGAGTGGGGGTGCTAGTAGGAAAGTCAATTTCCCTTAGAGGCACCAACTCACATCTATAGGAAAGAATGGGCGGGATAGGAATCAATCCTGATCACATGTAACCCCCTTATCAGGCCAGAAAAGGGGAGCCAGGGCTCAGGCTGTGGTGTACTCTTCATATCTCAAGGCCTGGGAAACAAGAGGGACTTCCAAGCGTGCATCCAGCTCTCACCCCTCTCTCTGTGGCCACACTTGCATTCTTGCCCTGACCCACAGGCCAGAGAAGCCAGAGATCCAACTGTGGACTGAACTCTGGATTTAAGTTCACTGTCTCTGAGTACAACTGGTAGTTTAAAAATAAAAACAAAACCATCTACTCTCCTCAAAAACAACTACGAAGGATTTCTGTTGAATCCACTTAACAAGCAGAATATTTGTCTTTCCCAGAATGACGTGTGGTAAAAAACAAGTAAGTTTGTAGTGAGAGGCCTGTGATATTATCTTTAGGAAAAGTATCTTGTTATAGAGACATCCTCCTTGAACTTCCTTTTTTTTAAATTACCAAAGACATGACAGGTGTTGATAGCTTAAGAGTAAAATATGTGCTTATGGAAAATCTCTTTTTTATCCCTACATATAGAAGAGGATATCTGAAGCTCTCTTCAATAACCTGCCCAAGAATCCCGTGGCCCAGGATTGCGGTTTCATCGGAAGATCCCACGGTGGCATCAGTCTTATATTTTGGACATGATCGTGGCTGTTAAGTTCTCAAAGACTGGGGGTTGAGACATTTCTGTGAGCACTGTAATGCTGAGTCACACAGGCATCCAGTAATATAGATCCAGCAGGAGCTCCCAGACCTCGAGAGGCTGGGTGCACAGCACAGGACATGAGGATACACACCTGGCCATCCCCGTGGTCTGAGCACAAGTGCATCTGTGACTTCCCTCTGTGGTAACGATAGACGTGGGTTGCCCCTCCTTCCTCTGGCACAGATGAATAATATTTCTAGAGAAGTAACATGAAAGATGTTGGGTAACCAAATAGATACATTTTTAAAAAAAACTGTACTTGGGCAAAATATGGTTAAGAAGGGAAACAAAAGAGCAAAGGTAAGTTACCTGCCTGCTCGACAGGCCTCTGAGGTCATCTAACAAATCTTAGCCCATGTAAAGGAAACTGCCTTTGGCATCACTTTGCTGCCATCTGCTGCCTCTGTAGGGCAAGAACTCTGGCCAACTAAAGCTGGGCAGGGCGTGCTCTCTGCCAGCTTAAATTTTCTTAACTGGGCCCCCAAGTCAAATACATATGCCCTTTCACCTCCTCTCATGACAAGTTCTAATGAACAGTTCTGTGCTTATTGTCTAAGTCTCAAACAAGGACAAGGGAAGAGAGGGGTGCATCTCGAGATGTGGAAATACAACGGAAGTGTAACATAAATCCAAGAGCTATGCAGTCAGTTCTCCCCTGTGGAGTAAGGGGGTAAGATCTCCAATTTAAGGAGAATAATCCAAATTATATTTTTCTTGTCTACTTCCTTTCCCCCCTTGCAGTTAACCTTAGCTGTGCCCTTGATTATGACTAAAGATGAGGACATCACTAGCCTGCTTGTTTTGAACACAGCGTAGGGTCAGCGTGGAAGGCATGAGACCAAAAGAATGAGAAGCAGAGGAACACTTCAAGACATGGGTCCATGATGCACCTTAGGGGCTACTTTAACATTGTGAAGGCAAACTCAGAATACTGTTCTTAATTCTCTCTCGGAAAGCCAGAGGGTTCTGAGGCTCCATTCCATAACGGATACTTGAACCGAAAACCACAATGAAGAACACCAATTTGCTAAACCTCAAACCAAAGACAAATATTATTCCTTTTACTGAGCCATGAACCAAAGTTTAAGTTGGTCACTTTATAGTAGAGCCCAAGTTTTGAATTTTTCTAAAACCATTTAACAGAATAAGAACATAAAAATATTCTCTGAACTCTTATCTCATTGGTTGGAATTCTGTTCTTGGGAGTCACAGGGGTTTTATAAAAGATGTAGAAAGGTTAGTGATTTTTTGAAATCTTAACATATTAAGTTGAAAAGCAGGACAGAAACAAGGTATTTTCCTCCTTCTTCCTTACAGACCAGCATCCTTACAACCTCATTGGAATCATAAAAAAAGTTAAGGGTGGAAGAGACCCAGTCTGTTGTAATTCTTAGATGATAGAGTGCCTTCACCCTAACCAGTTTGGCTCAGTGGATAGATCCTTGGCCTTTGGATTCCGGTCAAGGACATGTACCTTGGTTGC